TTTATGGCCTTGAAAGGGAGACTCCAGTTTAAAGAATTAATGGTATTTGCATATTTGATTTGGAAACTCCCCCGGCAGCCCCGCGGCAGCCCCACGCCGCCGGCTTTTTCCCTCTTCCCTTTTTTTCCTTTCCCCTCGGCCCGTTCAGATTTAGCAGCAGAGGTGAAAAGTTGAAGCAGTAAAACCAATAAAACCGCATTTATGTGACAGATAAATCGTCTGGAGGCAACTCTCCCTGAGCCTTCGGGCTTCCTCCTGCAGGACCTCTCCCCTCCGGAGCGCGGCCGGCAGCCGGGGCCAAAGGTGCCGGCCCCAGCCGTCCTCGGACCTGCCGAGCCAAAAAAGATGGATGTGGGCAAAGAGGTGGAAAATACACAGCCCATCCGTCACTGTCGGGAGCCACCTGGGGGTGGTCTGGCTCTCTGAGAGCTCCGGGAAGGTCCAGGCCGAGGTGGGAGCCTTGGGAGTCGTGGAATCAATAAGGTTGGAAAAGCGCTCAGAGATCCAAGCCTTTCTTCAGCGCTGCCAAGGCCGTCGCTGTCCCATGTCCCCAAGTGCCTTCAAATCCTTCCTGGGATGAGGGCTCCACCAGGTTGGACAGCCCTTTCCAGGAAGGGAAATTGTCCAGTGTCCAACCTGAGCCTCCCCTGGCCTGGCCTGAGGCCGTTCTCTCTCCTCCTGTCCCTGTTCCCTGCGAGCAAATCCCAAATCCCCCCTGGCTGTCCCCTCCTGCCAGGGACTTGTGCAGAGCCAGAAATTCCCCCTGAGCCTCCTTTGCTCCAGCCTGAGCCCCTTCCCAGCCACCTCAGGAATTCTCCAGCCCCTTCCCAGCTCCCTCAGCAATTCTCCAGCCCTTTCCCAGCTCCGTTCCCTTCCCTGGCCACGCTCCGGCCCCTCCAGGGCTCTCCAGACCTGCCCCAGCACTGGAGGTGCCCCAGCAGGACCGGCACAGGGGATGGGCACTGCCCTGGTCCTGCTGTCACCCCAGAGCTGGCACAGCCCAGGTGTCCCTGGCCACTGTGGCCACCTGGGCACACCTGGGCTCCTGCAGAGCTGCTGCCCATGGTTCCGGGTCATGGGAGTTTCTCTGGCAGTGGAAGCCATTCCCTGTGTCCTGTCCCTCCAGCCCTCGTCCCCAGTCCCTCTCCAGCTCTGCTGGAACCCCTTCAAGGCACTGCAAGCCTCCTTGGATTTTTCCCTTCTCCAGGGGAACATTCCCAGCTCTCCCAGCCTGGCTCCAGATCAGAGGGGCTCCAGCCCTGGAGCAGCTCCGTGTCCCTCTGAGCTCCTGCACTGCTCCTGAGCCTCTGCCAAGAACGACTCCCAACACTGTAAATCCATTTTCTCCAAACCCCTTCCTTTTCCTCACCTTTTTATTCCCTTTCTCCCTCCATCCTTTCTCTCCTGGCTCTTTATTCCCCCTCCCCACCAACGGCTACCTGGCCCCTGGATGCTCCGGCCACGCACTTTCCATGGCAAGAACTCGTTCAGGCTTTGTTTGGGATTTGCCCGAGGCACGTTCAGCCTCCCGGGGCCACCAGCAAGAGGCCTTTGGTGCATTGTGGGGGTTCCCTTTGAGCCTGTACAACCATGCAACTCCTCCCAGCAGCCGCCAAACCCCGTGGAAGCGTTCTGGCCCCGGCGCTCGGCCTGAAAAGCGCCTGTGAAATCATATTTAAGGTTGTCTCTCTCGAAGGTGCCCCCTTGGAAAAACCTCCTGCCAACGATGTTCAGCTCGGGTTTGTAGTTCAACACAAAGGCCCCGCCGGACAAAGCCGAGCGGGACCCGGGCTGGAAAAGCCCTCTTAGGTCCCGGCTAATCCATCCCCCCCGCCAGCCCGGGGGATTGTTCCCGACAGCTTGTTTTCCTTGCCCTGACCTACATAGTCAAAAAGAATCTTGTTGCACATTTTTGTTTTGTATCTGGAGGTCTCGGAGGAGCTAAATCCCCTTCTTGGCGGGGCAGGATGCGTTGTTAAACAGCGCCGGGGCCTCCAGGAAAACCATGGAGACGCGGGGACAATGAGGCCTCTATGGGCCCCGCTTGGCCGCGGGACGGGCCCGGCCTCTCCAGGCTCCGGTGGTGGGCGCCGGGACGCGCCGAGCGGGCGATGAAGACGTCCACGCGCTTGGCAGCCTGTCCCCAAATAGAGTGGTCACAGCGGCGCTCCAAGACGGGATCTTTGGGAGGAGGGAGAGGCAGGAGCTCTTAATTAACCTGCTGCGGATGGGGCAGAGGTGAAGGCGGCGTCCCGGGAATGCTGGGCCCTGGGGGTGGGTGGAGGAGCCAGGGCCTGGTTGAGGTGAGGAGATCCACGTGTGGGGAGGGCATGGGAACGCCTGGTTTTTAAGGAAAACAAGGGTGGGAATGGTGTGGGAAGAGGGCATTGGACTGCGCCTTCGTGGGTGGGTGGAGAAGCCAAGGCCTGGTTGGGCTGAGGACACCCACGTGTGGGGAGGGCATGGGAGCACCTGGTTTTTATGGAAAACAAGGATGGGAATGGTGTGGGAAGAGGGCATTTAGGCAACCTGAGCTGTCATTTTCCCGTCCCTCACCTGGCTGGGAGGATCCGGGGTCATTTGTGGACACGGAGGGCTGCAGGTGGGAATTTTGGCAGTCCAGAGCGGGGACGGTCACGGATGGCCGAGTTAATCCCTTTTTCTTCCCCTGCTGCCAAGGCCTGCTGGTTTCTCTTACCAACGTCTGGAAAGCACCTGGACTCCCATCTCCCGGAGCTGTACCCACCCAGAATAACCCCCAGAGCTCCTCGGGGAGCTCTGGAGACGCTTCCAGAGCAGATGGAGGGTGTTGGGGTGAAGCAGAGGTGATGAGAAATCCATGGGGAATGGTTAGAACGACACCGGGGGCTGTTTGGGGACAGAAGTTTGTGGTGACTTTGACCCCAAAAGTTTCCTCTTGCAATAGCTGAGAGTGTCAAGGCACTGGGGTTGTTTGTCACCCACATCCTCGAGGGGTCTCAGACCTCAAAAAACGGGGATCACAGAGCAGGAATATTCAGTGACTAAATTAACACAGCCCTGCATTAATTAATATTTAGTATTCCTAAATCAATAATGAAGTACAACCGAGTTAACGATGAAATTTTTAACAGTGTAACATTAAACAAATTAATAAAGCCTGCATTCACATTTTTTATGGATGACTCCACCTGCCCAGGACCTCTGCCAGCTTCCAGGGAAACACCTGCTCCCTTTTCCAGCTTTTTCAAACCCCGTTTGTTTTTCCATTCCAGCTCCTGGATCTGTTCATCCAGTGGGATTGGTCAACATATTTGGCTGACTACGGACAGCCCACGTGCAAGTACCTTCGTGTGAACCCCACCACAGCCCTCATCCTGCTGGAAAAGTGAGTGTGGCTCCCGAATCCCGGGAGAACTCCCACCCCTACCTTGCTTTATTTAGCAGCTCATTCCATCCCTGTGAGCAAAGATCTCAGCCCTGGCTGGACAGAGGGAGCTCAGATAGAAAAATCCCGTTTGATCCCACATTATCCAAATTCAATGGCTTGGCTGCGGGTCCTTCTTTTTGTTGGCTCTCAAGCAGAGTTTTCCTTGTCCTGCAAGGAAAATTTCACTGTAAAGATGAACCTCCAGCTCCAAAATCCTTTAAAATGCGCAGGGCTGCAGGAAGGAGTGGTTATCCTGAATTTTTCAGTGTTTGGGAGTTGTTTGGGCAATGCCACAAACAACTTTTGGTTGTGAAGTTGTTGGGCAGTTGGAGCACGTTGTCGCAGATTCCCTTCCACCTGAGAATACTCTATTCTGTTTCTGTATCTCTGTATTTCTATTTATTTTTATTTCTACATTTCTATTTTTATTTCTCTTTCTATATTTTGAATTTTATTTATTTCTGTATTTCTGTTTATTTCTATATTTCTATATATTTCTATGCATTTCTTTTAAAATTTATTTCTATTTCTATATTTTTCTATTTTTTCTATATTTCTATATGTCTATGTATTTCTTTTAAAATTTATTTCTATTTCTATATATTTATTTCTGTTTTCTTTTTATTTATTTCTATATTTCTATTTCTACGTATTTATTTTTTAAATTATTTCTATTTCTGTATTTTTATTTCTATTTATTTCTACTATTTATTTATTTATATTTCTACATATTTCTTTTAAAATTTACTTCTATCTCTATATTTTTACTTCTATTTATTTCTATTTTTATTTCTGTATTTCTGTATTTCTATATTTCTATATTTCTATGTTTCTATATTTCTTATTTCTATATTTCTATATTTCTATATTTCTATATTTCTATATTTCTATTTCTACATATTTATTTTTAAAATTATTTCTATTTCTATATTTTTCTACTTATTTTTATATAAGTATAATATATTTATATTTATTTCCACAGCTCCATTTTTGTATTTTATTCCCTATTTCTGTTTCTACATTTTTAATTCTATTTCTATTCATTTCCATTTCTATATTTTTATCTCTGCTTATTTCTTTTCCATATATCCCTATATTATTTTTATTTTTTTTTCCCCATTTCTTTCTATTCCCATTTATTCCCATTTCTCCCACCTCCCTCCCGCGGGGCCCCAATCCCAATTCCGTCTCTGGGTGCCCCGAGCCAGGACGGGCTCCCTCAATCCATCCTTTGAGGGCCGTAGTTCATATGCTCCGCACAGCTCCATCCCAAATCCTGGAGCGGTGCCGGGAACAGCGCCCGGACGCGCTGCGGGGCTCCGGGGTGGCTCCCGGAGGGCTGTGCCAGTCCTGGGGGCCGGCAGCGAGCCGGGAACGCTGCGGGATTCTGCTGCAGACCCGAGGAAAAGCGGGATTTGCTTTGCCTGTCACCCCTGCCCGTGGTGGGTCTCCCAGATGATCTCCGCTGGTCCAGCTCCAAGCTGGCTCGGGAAGGATCCACTCTGCTCCTGCTCCCAGCAGACCTCCCAGGCCGTTTTCCAGCTGGTGGGACAGAGAACGAGCCAAAAAACGGGAATTCATCGTTTTCCGAGCGGCTCCTGCCACGGGCGCTGTGGTGCTGGGTCCTGCATGGAGGAGAGGGCAGGAGGGAATCCTCGTGGGATCATGGAATGGTTTGGGTGGGAAGGGACCTTAAAGCCCATCCCATTCCATGGGCAGGAACACCTCCCACTATCCCAGGCTGCTCCGAGTCCTGTCCACCCTGCCCTTGGACACTGCCAGGGATCCGGGATCCTTGAATGTTCTTCTGGAAGTGTAGCCCCAACCCTAAACTCGTCACCTCCTCCAGGAGAGAGACCCCCAAATCACCTCAAACTGCTCCTTGTGGTCTGATTCCGTGGTTGATCCAACCAAACCCATCTGCATCCCTGGAAGTGTCCGGGTTGGCCGGGGCTGGGAGCACCCGGGGATGGTGGGAGGGCAGGGGCGGCACGGGGTGGGATTTGAAGGTCCCTTCCAACCCGAATTTTTCTCTGAATCTCTGATTCTCTGAGCGAGCTTGGGGTGTTTGTGAACTTTGGGGTTCCCTCGGTGTCATCGTGGTCCAGGGAAGCTCCAGCTCCTCTCCCCCAGAGGAGAAGAACGGATGTCACAGCACCTCAGGACACCCGCAGGGTCCCAGTGAGGGACACAACCAGGGCAGTTGTGGGTTTAAAGTACTTTTACACCTCCTGGTGTTGGTTTACACCGTTATTTCCTGGGTTGTGTTATCCCTGGGTTATCCGGGGCCGTGGGTCAGGGATGGATGTGGAAATGCTGGCAGATGCTGGGATTTGGTGACCTTGGAGGGGTTTTCCAACCAGAACAATCCTGTGATACACAGCATATTCGTGACCCAGCATCTGAGATGTGAGAGTGAGAGGTTTATTCAGAGCTAACACTAAAATGGTAAAATAATGCATTTATACCCAAAATCTGTGAGCTTGGCCGTGCAGCACCTGGAATAGCCAGGGAATTGAGGCAGGCAGTGAGCTGGGATCATGGCAGAGGCTGGGAAGGTGGTGGGACAGAAGGAGAGCAGCTCCACACTCCGTGATGTTAAAATGTCACCAAACCCCAGCCTGGCTCGTTCCATAAAGTCATAAAATCATGGAATGGGTTGGGTTGGAAGGAACCTTAAGGATCATCTCATTCCCACCCCATCCATGGGCAGGACAGCTCCCACTGACCCAGGTGGATCCAATCCCAATGTCCAACCTGGCCTTGGGCATTCCCAGGGATCCAGGGGCAGCCATGGGAAATCTGGGAATTGCAGCCCAGGCAGGAATTCCTTGCCAAGATCCCAGCCCAATCTCCCCTTTCCCACTGGAAGCCATTCCCTGGCTCCTGTCCCTGCAGCCCTTGGCCCCAGTCCCTCTCCAGCTCTCCTGGAGCCCCTGCAGGGACTCTCAGCATTCCCTGCATTTTGCCCTTCTCCAGGGGAACATTCCCAGCTCTCCCAGCCTGGCTCCAGAATCCTGGAATGGTTCAGGCTGGAAGGACCCTTAAGGATCATCCCATTCCCACCCCTTCCATGGCCAGGGTCATCCCCCACCATCCTAGGGTGCTCCAAGCCCTGTCCATCCTGGCCTTGGGCCCTTCCCTGGATCCCCTCTGAGGGGTCTCTGTCCATCCCCCACGAGCTCCGGGCACATCCGCTGCCTCCCATCCCGCCGGGAATTCCGCCGGGCCGGCTCAGCCTGTAACCTGTTCTCCTGGTTATCTCTGTCCCTTATCACGCCCGTGTCCGTCTCTCCCAGGATATCCCGGGTGTAAGTATGCGCTCGCTCGGGCTTTCACCCTCACCTCGCCGGGCCCCGATTGTCCGCTCTCAATGGAGCCCGAAAGGCTGGAATTGCAAAGTGCCTCTGGAGCGGGGCCCTGCGCAACCCGATCCTCCCAAATGCACTAATTAGAGCTAAAAGAGGAGCTTTTACCCCCGCTGCTTTCTTCCCCTCCCGGATTAATTGAGACAAAGCTCGGCTCTCTCCGAGGTGGTGTTTGTTGACAGGGGTGGGGACAGCGCCGAGCTCGCCTTTCCCTTCCTTTCACTCCTAATCCTGGGACCGGCTTCCAAACCCTCAGTTATCCCAAGGCTCTGCTCGGAGAAATAAAAATGGGAGTCTGCGAAGCCCATCCCAGATCCTGCAGGGTTTTCTGTCCTGTAGGCAGATTAATTAATTAATAATAGCTAATATCTCGGCGATTGCACCTTCACATGGTGTCCGGGAATTCCAGCAGCTCCCAGATTCACCAGATCCGCCTCTGTGGGTTTGTTATGGATGCTCCCAGTTATCCCAAGGCTCTGCTCAGTGGAAAAAAACCCCTGTGGATCTGCACAGCCCATCCCAAATCCTGCAGGATTTTGTGTCCTGCAGCTGAATTCATTAATAATAGTTAATATCTCAGTGTTTCCATCGTGTCTGGAGATTCCAGCTGTTCCCATCCTTCCCAGATTTACCAGATCCGCCTCTGTGGGTTGGTTAATAGCACTCACAGTTATCCCAAGGCTCTGCTTGGAGAAATAAAACCGGGAATCTGCAAAGGCCAACCCAAATCCGGCAGGATTTTGTGTCCTGTAAGCAACTTAATTAATTAATAATAGTTAATATTGCTTCCACCTTCATGGGGTGTCTGGAGATTCCAGCTGTTCCCATCCTTCCCAGATTTACCAGATCCACCTCTGTGGGTTTGTTATGGGCGCTCCCAGTTATCCCAAGGCTCTCCTCAGGGAAAAAAAACCTCTGGATCTGCACAGCCCATCCCAAATCCTGCAGGATTTTCTGTCCTTTATCTTAATTCATTAATAATCGTTAATAGCTCAGTGCTTCCATCTTCACGTGGTATCTGGAGATTCCAGCAGCTCCCGGATGCTCCCAGACTTTTCCAGATCCTCTGTGGGTTTGTTGTGGGATCAGGGCTCCGGCTGCAGTCCCTTTCCATCCTGATCCCGAGGTTTATCCATCCAGCTCCTTCCCAATCATCCCAACGCAGCCCAAGGTTTTCTTGCACAGAATCTGTGCTGCTTCCAAAACATTCCATGGGCCCGAGCAGGTCCCACGGGATGGGAGATGGCCCCAGAGGTGCCAGGATGGAAAAGCTCTAAATTCCCGGTGTGTGGAAGGGCTGGAGAAGGATGGGAAGAGCTTTCCAAAGGTACAGGTTGACTTCCAGCACCTCTGATGTCCCTCTGGAACCTGGGAGAGCTCCCAGCTCTGCTGGGGAAGGGCTCGGAGACCTCCTGGAGCTGTTTGGAGTTCCAGAGGAGGAGCATTGTCCCCAAATCCAGGCTGACAGGACCTGGGTGACTCCAAACCCCGCTTCCCGTTGGCACAGTCGCTCCCTGGTCCTCTTGGAGGAGCAGCTGCCAACCTGCTCCGGCTAAAAAAACCGGGAAACACAAACAAATACCGGTTTTGTTGGCTGGAAGTGCTCCAAGCTCTCCTGTTCCTGTTGGGAGAGCAGCTCTGTCTCTGGGCACTGGTAATCCCAGTAAATTCCCCTTTGGGATAAAGCTGTTGTCCTGGATTACAGTTCCAAGCCTGGTGCTTTTGGGAACATTTCCCATTCCCTGTGGCTCTTCCTCGGAGGTTGAAGCCTGGAAAACCTTGGATGTTTGTTTGCGTTCCCTAAATTTGGAGAGGTTGGGGCTGTGCTCAGTTGACTCCAGACCCTTGGGATGATCCAGGGCCAGCTTCCCAGGGATCATCAATCATCGTGTCCCTGTCACTCCAACACTTCCTTTGGTCCCCAAAGCCAAAACCTGGGATTATGGGATGCATCCAAAGCCCTCAGCCTCTGCCAGATCTGATTTACCCGGAAAATCTTCTACAAATTGGGATAACTGGGAAGAGCCGGGCCCCAGCAGGTTGGATTTTGGGAGGTTGTGCCTTCAGGAGCTGCGGAAAGGTTGATCCTGGTGGGATTTTTTTTTTTCCCTTCCCACCACCCTTGGAGTGTGTTCCAAGCCCTTTTCCCCACAAAAAAATACGGATCTGGGAATGCAGGAGTGCATGAACCCCCTCCCAGCTTTGCATGTGGGGTCCCATCCCACCTCCTGCTCTGCTGGGCTCTGGATTTATGGACACCTCCTGGAGACGCCACGCTCCTTCCAAACAGCTGGATTCCTTCCTGGAATGGCAATTAATTTGTGTTATATTTAATATAAATTATACACATCCATATAATTTATATTTCTTATTCGTTGGGAAAAACAGGATGGGGGCGGTGCCCCTGCCCATGGCAGGGGGCTGGAAATGGATGGGATTTAAGGCCCCTTCCAACCCAAACATTCGGTGATTCCATGGGAATATTTTATAAAATTTAAATTCACAACTCCAGACCTTCCCAGCCTCCCCTAAAGCTGCATCTCGTGCATGCAAGTTTGAAGGAAAAAAGCTTTAATTCCGTGCTGATTCTTAAATCTCCTCTCCAAATTCCATCCCCGCCACTGAAGGTGACGTGGGGATGGAGAAGTCCCTGTTTGGAAGAGGGAGGATTTAGGATTTCCTGCATTTGGGAATTAGGGAGAGACCCCAAAGTGGCGTTGATTTGGGTTGGAGGGGTTTGAAGCAAAAATCCTGGGAAAATTCAAAAAAAATTGGTGTAGAGCCTGGAAATTCCATGTCCTCCCCTCTGAGCGCCAGACATTCCCAATCCCTGTTCCATAACCCCTTTGTGCTCCCTGCAGGATGTGGGACACCAGCAGGAAATTTTCACCCAGTTCCGGAAAAACGAGCGGGAATTGGGAGAGATCCCACAGTAGTGTTGGTTTGGATTGGAGGGGTTTAAAGCAAAAATCCTGGGAAAATTCCCAAAAAATTGGTGTAGAGCCTGGAAATTCCATGTCCTCCCCTCTGAGCACTGGACATTCCCAATCCCTGTTCCATAACCCCTTTGTGCTCCGTGCAGGATGTGGGACACCAGCAGGAAATTTTCACCCAATTCCAGAAAAACAAGTGGGAATTGGGAGAGATCCCACAGTGACATTGATTGGGATTGGAGGGGTTTGAAGCCTGAAAAATTCCCCAAAAATCGGTGTAGAGCCTGGAAATTCCATGTCCTCCCCTCTGAGCACCAGACATTCCCAATCCCTGTTCCATAACCCGTTTGTGCTCCCTGCAGGATGCGGGACACCAGCAGGAAAAACAACGTTTTCGCCCAATTCCGGAAAAACGAGCGGGACAAGCAGAAGTTGATCGACACCGTGGCCAAGCAGCTGCGCGGCCTCATCAACAGCCACCACTCCTGAGGGGCTCGGGATCTCCTTCCCGCCGCCTGGACTTCGGGAATCTCGCTCGGAGAGAAGATTTGTATTTTTTTATTCGCCTGGAAAGTCTCCGCGGAGCCTCCCCCCAACGGCAAAACGCTCCCGGTGGAACAATCCCGGGAAAAGAGGTGGTGCCAGGGGTCTCCTGGATAAGCTCCTATTTTCAGGGGTTTAGGAAGGGATGGGAATTCTTGGAACCTGGGAGAAGTTCACACCCGGACTGGGTTGTGTTTTGGTTTTTGGGGGTTTTTTTTGGTTTTTTTGGCAAAGCCAAAGTGAAGGGATCATCCTGCCTTGCTTTTGTTAATTTATTCCCTTGGGAAACAGAGAAATCTGGGAAGAGCCGTGGGTTTGGGTTCTCTGGGAAGAGGGTGACCCCCAGTGTGTCCTGTGGTTTGGATTTAGGTAGGAAAAAGGGATTTCCCAGGTTTTTCTCTCCTCTTTTCCACCTCCACGGGCTGATTTCCACCTTAGTCTGCAAATCCCTGGAATCCCTTTCCCGCGTGTCCATAACCATCCCTGAGCTCCACTCCAGGACCTGCCAGGGGCTGCGGGATCATGGAGAAGGGACAGCCGAAGGATAATCTGGGAATGTGTCCTGTGGCACCGCTCCGGGGGTGGGATGCTGCTGGACACATCCATGGATGGGGAGCCGGAGGGGACGGATGCTCCACAGGGATGCTGGGAAGGCACACCGGCATCTCCCGGTGTCCAGGAAGGGTTTTTCCCTCTCTTTTCCCATCTTCCCTCTCCTCCTGATGGTTCCATGGGGAAAACTTGACAGTGTGACATTCCCCATGGAGCAGCGCTGCTCCAAAGTGCCTGTGGATAAAATTCCCCCTGTCCCAAAGACCCCCCCCAGACATCGTCTGCTCAAACCAGGCGGCCACCAACGGGATTTAATCCCAGGATCCCTGTTCCTGAGGGGGATTTTCACCCTTCTCGTCACCCTTCTGCCTTTAATTCCTCACATTATCCAGCTGCATTCCCAAAGCCTTGAAGGGAATCCAGATCCCCCTGGTTGTTGTTGCAGCCCTGGAAGTGCTGCTCCCGTGCCCATTCCCAGCCCTTGGGATGCGCCAATCCGGAGGTTCTGCCTTCCCGCCTTGCTCCACAGCAATATTTTGGGGCTGGTTTTCATTTGGAGAGGGTTTGTTTGGCTCAATCCCAAAATTAAACTTGAACACGGTTGGGAACGACCCCCTGGAGCTCTGGGGCTGTCCCAGCCGCCTCCAGCTAGAGGGACCAAGGGATTATTTTCATCAGGAAGAGGGAAAATTTGCAATTCCTTTTTTTCAGGAGAGGGAATTTGCAATTCCTTGGTTTTGGAGAGGGATCGGGGGTTCCTTGTGAGCTCCTCCTGGAGGGATTTGGAAGAGGGATGGAGGGAAAAGCTGCAGGTGAAGGAAAGTCGGAGTCAGTGTGGCCAGAACGGGATCAGCTTTGGAGACACCTCTGGTAACGACCCAGAGGGACAAGGGATGGGAGTTCTGGGAGTGGGACGGAGAAGGAGCAGAAGCCCTGGGGACACAGGGAAGGGATTTTGTGCTGCCATCCTGAAATTCCATTTTTCCCACCTATATTTCACTCCATGAGGCACTCCCACAAAAAATCCCCAGCACAGCCGAGGCAAGGCCTCCTTTCAGACACTCCAGGCAGCTCCCACCCTTCCCAAATCCACGCTGGGAGCTCCATTCCCGTCTCCCTGAGCTGGTATTCCAGGAGCAGCGACCTGGGATGGGTTTCCTCGCTCCTTCAGGCTCTCCTTGGAGAAACCAGCGTTGGGATCCTCCAAACCGGCTCCCGGTGCTCAGGATTTGCTGTTGGGAGAGTCAGATCCGGCCAAGGGAGAGATTCAGGGAGTTCCTGATCTCGGGAGGTCAAGAGCTGTAACCGCAAGTCAGAGCCTGGGATGAAAAATGGGATTTTGGGATTCTGGTCCCAATTAACTTTTTGTTCTGAGAGATGTGGCTCCATCCCTTCCAAACAAAATTAATCTTTTAAACAGATTGACCCCCCCCCACACAAAAAAAAAAAAACCCTGGAAGACATCCCAAATCCCTTCTCAGTCTCTTCCTAATGATGGGTGTCCTCCGACACGGATGGAATTGCTTAGGAGGGAAAAGTGGCTGCAGGGAATTCAAAAGGGGGAGGGGGAGGGTGGGAAACAGGGGCAGGACCCGAATCCAAGATTTCCAGCTTCCCAAAATAAATAATGCTGCTCTCACACCTTGCTCCACACCCACTGAACATTCCTTAGTGGGTTTTATTTATTAAGAAAAGAAAATTAGATTATTCTGTAATTTTTCCCGGCTCCAGCAAATATATTCCAGCACCAGTGGGGAAAAAAGTACATTAAGACCCAAATTCGGCTTCCCAAGAAGCTTCTTTCCTTCTTCAGGAGCTGTCAGGCATTCCAGGAGGTGGGAATAATCCTATAAAAGGTGTCCAAAGCGGGAATTTGCAGCCCAGCCCATCCGTAGGGTGTTCTCCCTGAGCCATCAGCACGTGCAAGGTGGGAGCGGAGGGGTTTTCCTGGGAATTTTTGGGTGTTCCTGGGGCTGCAGTCCAAGCCAGATGCTCCCAGTGGTTTTTGCACTTTGTTCCAGATCCAGCCCCAGCTCCCGCTGGGATGGGGACGGGAGGAGTTGGGAAGATGCTGTTTTGGGGTTGTTTTCCCCGGACTGGCTGTTTGGGGGAAGGTGGAATTTCGGATGAGAGCTGTGGGAAGGGCCACGGTGGCCCCAAATTCCTTGGAAGGTTCTGGGAAGCGAGGCTGGGATGGAGCCGGGGCCGCTCCGGGGGCATCGCTGCTGTCGCTTCCCTCATGCTGAAGTTTTGGCATCAAATCCCAACCAAATTCCAAATCCCGGGCAGAGATTCCTCAGCCTTGGATGTCTCCTGGCTCTGCTGGGCTTTTCCCGTTAGTTCTGGGTTGGGTTTGGTGCTTTTGTGGACCTTGGAGGGGTTTGGAGCATCCAAACTCCATCCCACGCTCCGGTTGGATTCGAGTCCCATCCCTGGGAGCCGCAGGATTTTTGGGATCTCTGTCCCATTTTTCCTACAGCTCTGTGGGGCTGGAGACCCCTCATTTCCCACCCCCCAGCACCATTCCATGTTTATCCCACTGCTGGCAGCCCCAAGGGAACACAAATCCCATAAATCCCATCCCAGATGACTCCAGGATGATCCTAGCTCTGCTGCCCACTGGGAACACCGTGGATCGGAGGGAAGCGACCCAAAAACCCCGGGATTGGCTGGGATTCACCCCAAAAATGCCGGGATGGAGGCGGGGAGCTCAGGGGAGTTTGCTTCACCCCAAAGCTGCTGCTCCAATCTCTCGGCCCCAGGGCTGGATTTGGGAAGCTTTTCCCAGAGCTGGGATCCATCCCCACCTGCAGCTTCCCAAAAATTCCATGGGCAGCTCTGGAATCCTGCCCTGTCCCAGCTGATCCCTGCCCTGGCTCATCCCTCAGATTCTGTTTTTCCAGGAAAAGCCCCCCCTCCTCTCCCATCCCACATCCCATCCCTCCCTGTCCACCGGGGTTGCCTTTTCCCGTTGATTTTGGGGTGGAAGGACCTGATTTTGGGAACCGAGGTGGTGAAAACAGCTTTTTTTGCACAAGTCGTTGCACAATAAGGGGAAAATTTAGCAAATTAGGTTTAACTTTAAAGGGAATTTTGTTGTTTTGTTGGTTTTTTTTTTTTTTTTCCTTTAAAACTCGCTAGCAGAGCTACTGATTCCAAGAGGAAAAAGAGCTGGAATGGCTGGAGAAAGGACTGCATGGTTTACAGGTTCAATTCTGTTAGAAATTAGCATGTTGGACATTTATCCTGGTGTAATTCCAATTAAACAAATACAGCATTTAACGGTTTCATTCATGCCTCGTCTGGCTCTGTGCGTCCCCGGGGAAAAACCTGAGCCCTAAATCCCACGGAAGATAAAATTCCACATCTCCTTTGGACACCTGGCTGCTGGAATTCCCAGGTTTACTGGGGATCCAAGGGGAAGAAAATCCCTGGATGAGCGTTGGATCCCGCCCTCCCTCATTGCCCTGAGCGGAAACCAAGTCTGGCCCAAATTTTGGGGGATTTTAATCGGTTTCTATCAAAAAATTCCTCCCTGGGAGGTTGGGATGGGGCTGGGCTGGAATTCCCAGATTTGCTGGGGCTGCCCCTGGATCCCTGGCAGTGCCCAAGGCCAGGCTGGACACTGGGATTGGATCCAGCTGGGATCCTGGGAGCTGTCCCTGCCCATGGAATGGGGTGGCATTTAAGGTCCCTTTTGCACCCAAACCATTCCAGGTTTCTGGAGATGGGGGGATTTCATGGAATGGCTCAAGCAGATGGGGTTTGTGTCAGATGAAGGATTTAGGGAATATCCATGGGCTGGGATAGCAAAGATTCCTGGATGGTTCGTATTCCATGAATTCCTCTAATTCCCCTCTTTAAGCTGTTTATCCCTGTTGGTTTCTGGCAGATCCTGGGGCAGGGATTCCCAGGTGTTCATTCCCTGGAGTTGTTGGTGACTCCACCTCTGCCAGGAGTCTTTCCCCACTGGAGAGGGAAAAAGGAGGGTGGGAATCTCCCAGATTTCCAGGATATTCCTGGCTGTTTCCTGGTAATGGAAAAAAAAAAAAAAATGGAAAATTGCATCTCCTCCCACAGCTGGTCCAGGGAAGACCCAAAAATCCAGGAAACCCCTCAGTGCCTGGGTTAAGGACCTTTGTGTCACCCCTGTCCCCTTCTCCTGCTGAATTTTGGGAGCTGGGCTGTGCCAGGAAAAATCTGGATGCTCTCCAGGTGGGAGATGGAGATGTGGGGATAGGAAATGGTCCAGCACTGGTGGGAGATGGTGGGAAGGGATCTCAGATCATCTGGATCAATGGATCTTGGATCATCCTGGATCAATGGATCTCAGATAATCTGGATCAGTGGATCTCAGATCATCCTGGATCAGTGGATCTCGAATCGTCCTGGATCAGTGGATCTCGAATCATCCCGGATCAGTGGATCTCAGATCATCCTGGGTCAGTGGATCCAGTCCCCCTGTCCCCCCCGTCCTCAGGACACCCCAGCCCAGCCCTGAGCCGCCATTCCAGCCCCAGGGAGGCGTTACCAGCCCAGTTTTCACCAAACCATGGAATCAGGGAATATCCTGGTTGGAAGGGACCCACAGGGATCCCCCAAGCCCAGGACACCCCAACCTCCCCACGAGCCACCCCAAGCAGGGATTTCCTCCCGATTTTCCCTGATCCAGGTGAGACAAACATTTCCCAGCAGCCGCTCCCGA